ATCTGTCAGTTATTCCTGTGATGTAGATGGAAGAAACCGCGCTCTCACTGTCTCTCCTCCCATTGAGGGCTGGGTCTTGTGGAGGCCCAGGACGGGTAGTGAGTCCCCTTCCCTGAAGGACGTTGTGAACTAGTTAAGTTTTTATAACAATCTAGTGACTTTTCATGGTCACTATTTCTGAGTATGTTCCACACAAATTACCAAATTCAATGTAACACCTTTCACAGTCTCCTTTCGTGTCTGAAACATAGAACAGTACAGCACAGTACAGGCCCTTTGGCCGACGATGTTGTGCCAAACCTTTACCCTAAACCTAAGGTCTATCTAACCTCCATCCCTACCTTATACTATCATCCATACGCCTATCTAATAGCCACTTCTTAAATGCCCCTAATGAGGCCAACTCCACTACCCTCTCCGGCAATACATTCCACACCCCTACCACTCTCTGAGTAAAGAACCTACCTCTGACGTCTCCCCTATATCTACCTCCATCACCTCAAAACTATGCCCCCTCATAACAGTTCTGTTTCTCATACTCGTCTTTTCTTGATCTGAGGAAGGGTCACCGGACCTGAAACGTTAACTCTGTTTTTCCCTTCACAGATGCTGCCAGACCTGCTGAGCTTCTCCAGCACTTTGTTTTTGTTCCTGATTTACAGCATCTGCAGTTCTTTCGGTTTTTCTTGATTTAAATTGGTTCAACAGAGAATCACAGAGCCAAATTTATCAGCAAGAATTCTAAACAAACATCCCACCAAGATCTGAGAGTGAGTCAATTAATCAGGACTTGAAAAACATTTGATTTTCAATGTTTATCTATTCTGTCTGTTGGAAATCTTTTCTAACATCAGTGTGACTGGAAATGAACCAAGACATATCCACCCAGATGAGTGTTTCAGTGAACTGACTGTGGACAGGTCTTGAACCAGTTACACAGCCTGAATAACATCACACCATTCACAGTGGGGAGAAACTGTATTACTGTCCTGTGTATGGGAGAGGAGTCAGCTGATCGTCCAATATGGAGAGACACGAGGACATCTGCATGATGGAGAAACTATGGAAATGTGCGGACTGTGGGAAGGGATTCAAGTACCCATCCCAGCTGGAAACTCATCGACGCATTCACACTGGGGAGAGGCCATTCATCTGCTGTGCTTGTGGGACGGGGTTCTGGCGGTTATCTTCCCTTCGGAAACATAAACGCACTCACACTGGGGAGAGGCCATTCACCTGCCCTGAGTATGGACAAGCATTCAGTGACTCATCCACCCTGTGGAGGCAACAGCGAGTGCACACTGGGGAGAAGCCATTCATCTGCACAGAATGTGGGAAGGAATTCACCCGATCAGCCAACCTGCTGAAACACCAGCGAGTTCATACGGGGGAGAGACCATTCATCTGCCCTGACTGTGGGAAGGGGTTCAGTGGCTCATCCAACCTACTGGCACACCAGCGGGTTCACACTAGAGAGAAGCCATTCATCTGCTCAGAGTGTGGAAAGGGATTCAGTGACTCATCCAGCCTGTCAAGACACCAGCGAGTTCACACTGGGGAAAGGCCATTCATCTGTCCCGAGTGTGGAAAGGGATTCACTCGGTCAGCCCACCTGCTGAAACACCAGCGAGCTCACACTGGCGACAGACCATTTGTCTGCCTCGAGTGTGGGGAAGGAATTCAGTGACTCATCCTACCTGTTGACACATCAGCGAGTTCACACTAGGGAGAGGCCATTCCCCTGCTCCGAGTGCGGCAAGGCATTCTCTCAGTTATCCCACTTTAAGGTACACCAACTGGTTCACACTGATGAGAGACCTTTCAAATGTTCGCACTGTGAGAAGATGTTTAAACGCAGATATGACATGCGGACACACCAATGCAGTCACAATGAGGAGAGGCCTTTCCCCAGCTCTGTGTGTCGAAAGTAATTTGGCTGTTCACAAAACTTGGAGACACCAGTGAATACACAGTGGTGAGAATTTGTTACCCGATCCCTCTGTAGGAAAGGCTTTACTCGGTCATCCCACCTGCTGGGACACCAACGAGTTCACAAATGACTGCAGGTTCTTACTAAAACTTTGATCCATCCCCCTGGAGGACCAGGAAGCAAATGCAGTAGAACAGGGAAATATGCGGTGCTTGTGATGTGACATGGGGAGGCCAGCAAAGGATGACACTGTATCACTTTGAACACCAGAGAGAAAGACTGTGACTCTGATTCATCACGTTTTAATTCACTCATTTGAAGTATGCCCCATTGCAAGCAGAGCTTGATGCACAGACATACACACTCGTGTACAGAGGCACAAAAACAGATTCACAGATACACACAGATGTTGTGTGGAATTTGCACGTTCTCCTTGTGTCTGTGTGGGTTTCCTTGCACAGTCCGAAGATGTGCTGGTTAGGTGAATTGGCACTGTGAAATGCAGGGTTGTAGCAATAAGGTATGGGTGTGGGTCTAGGTAAGATGCTGTTTGGAGGGTCAATGCGGACTTTACGGGCCAGATGGCCTGCTTCCACACTGTAGGGATTCTAAGACTTACAGATATACTCTTCCGGGACAGTGTGTCCTATTGCAGACAGCAGGTCATACAGACACAGGCAGAAACACATACACATATAAATATGGATGTGAATATAAAGATACACACAGACATGATGTCCCTTGATAATGCCAGGGTTGATGCGTTTCATAAACTCAGGTTCACTTGTACAGTAAATGTGTGCAATCACTGTTTGTAAAATAGATTGATTCATTTGTAGAATTCTCAAACTCATTAAAAGTAAACTTGCTGACTTGTTCATTTCAGTCCCACTCACACCTTCTGTTGATCTGTGTGAAAATCCTGTGTTCCTTTGTGGAATAAATGTGAGTGCATTGATTGCTGAAGCCTGTGTTCCGTTGTCTAAAGAGCCTGTGTGTGGCTACTGCTGGTTTGAAATGGCAGCTTTGTCTCTGGATTTTCAGTCTGGGTCCAGTGTGTGAGGGAAGGAGGCGGACAAACAAGAGGGAGTGCAGACAAAACTACTGAGCTGCTGCTTTCTCTCACACCACCTCTAAGCTTATGAAGATGCCTCTTGGAGTGCTCCATATCAGGGAAAGTTGCCATCTAGGTAGAGGAGGCTGGGAGCTGACTGGATAAACTGGGATTTGGGCAGAGAGTGGCCTTTGAGTGACAAACCTGAAGGTATTTAAAGTAGGCCCTGGCAGCCATTGTGCTTTTTACCATGTGGATGGAGCAGTAGGTGAGTATCAGAGGGTTTCTGTCTCTGTGTCTGTCTGTGTGTGTGTGCTGTTGGAATCTCAATGCCAGTTTTGATCGATTTTAAATAAACATCTTGATTGCAGCAGAGTCCAAGAGCAGGGTCTGTCCCTCATGGGAGAGGGGGATGTGAAAGAGAATTGAGAGATCAGGGACTCACTGGAATGGTGACTATCCCCTCCTCCATCTCTCCATGTCTTTCCTTAACTCCTGTTTGTCTTGGACTTTTTTCATCTCCCCCCCTACACCCCCCAATTTCTCTCTCCCTCGGGGTTCAGGTACATGATTCTTTGAAGCTTGCATCACATACAGACAGGGTGATTAAAGAAGTGTTTACCACATGCCTTCATTGCTCAGTCCTTTGAGAATAGGTGTTCAGAAGAGATTTACCAGGATGTTGCTGTGAATGGAGACTTTGAGTTATAAGAAGAGGTTTATAAAATCATGCAGGGTACAGACAGGGTTAATGGTAAGTGCCTTTTCCCAACGATGGGGGATTTCAAGACTCAGGAATATATTTTTACAGTGCGAGGAGAGCAATTTTTAAAAAAAACATGGGGGTGAATTTTGTACATAGTAGTTTGTGTGTGGAAGGAACATCCTGAGGAAGTGGTGGGTGCAGGCACAGTTATAACATTTAAAAGACCTAGATAAGTACAAGAATAGGAAAGTTTTGGCAAGACAGGCCTTACTGTATCCAGGTTTTGGCAGATATGGGCGAGGAGTAGGCAGGTGGAACTAGTTTCGTTCAGGGTTATGTTTGGCATGGACTGTCTGGACTGATGGCACTGTTTCCGTGCTGTATGATTCTGATTCTCTCTGTCTTTCAAGCACTGTGTGGGCCTCTCTGTCTCTCTCTCTCTCCCTCTCTCTGTACTTCTTTCCCTTTACTTCTCTTCTATTCCCTCTCTCTAACATGGTGTTTTTCTCTCTGTCTGGCTCTTGCCTTTCTGTGGCTGTCTGTGCTCTTTTCCTTTTTCCCAACATTTCTTTACATCTCTTTATATTCCCCTTGTTTTTGTTCTCTCTCCCTCTTTTCCCCTCGCACGTCTCTTTTCAAACCCCACCTCTCTGTAGACCTCGGACAGGTTGTGTCCCCACCACATTTGGTAGTTCACTCATATTGCGCCCTCTCAAATCTTGGACTGCCAAGTTTTTTTCCACACTTCGGAATATTGGTTCCCCCCCCCAACCCACACCTCACCCCTCCCCAATGTTTGTGCGGCATCCCCCAAGAATGGACACAGCAAAGTTTTTTGATTTTTACCACCCACCATGTCTTCACATGCCCACAATTACACAACACC